ATCACGGCAGAAGGTGTTTCTCTATTTTCGGCTGGCCCTTACCGGGCCTCAGGACCGTCAAAAAACGAGTCAGGATGAAAAACCGGTCCCGGGGAATGGGTCCGGACCTTTGGGTGTCGCATAATGAAAAAATTGACGTCGTGGGTCTGGGTATAGGGCCAGTGTTTCGTCCCGAGTCGTTCGGTCACACTCCCGAGGCCCCATACGTAGGCCGAAAAAACTGTCCCAACCCCGCCGCTCCGACTGTTCGGGAGCGTCGAATCTCTGGGCTCCCCTCTCGCTCGCCGCCGAACTCTGCCTCGATTCCCCGCCGCGCCGACGTCATAGCCTATACGGCCCCTTCCCCATGGCCGGCTTCTCCTCCCGAGTCATTTCTTTTGACGGTCCCCAGGGTGCGACGGCCCCCAGAGGCCGAACATATCGAAGACCTCCCGCCGTGATTGGTTCATGACCCGAGGGGCGAATTCCCCTGAGATCCGAATTCCCTTGAGATCCGACGCTGCAAGAGAATGACAGCATCGAAAATACTGCGACCGGGGACCAGGACCCCACCTTTCTGCATCCTTTTTCGGGCCGGATCGATTCGTGAGTGTCCCCCCGGGGCCCGAAATAAAAGGAAAAAGCCTGGCTAAAAAAACTGAGTCGCCAGGATCTCAAGGCCTGTCTCGATTCCCAGACCCCCGACGTCGTTATCTTTTCATCACGTCGACCCTGGAGGACATATCGACATCTTCCCTGGGACCGGCTTCTCCTCATGAGTCGTTTGTTGGCGGTCCCCGGGGCCGGTGTGAGGGCCCCCAGAGGCCGAACATGGTGAAAAACCTCCCGCCGTGATTGGCTCATGCCCCGAGGGGTTTGGGTCCCAGACATGAGACGTCCTGATTTTTTCAGGACGGCGCCCCTGGAAGTCCCGACCCTTTCCCTGTGACCGGTTTTTCATCCTGAGGCGTTTCTTGACGGTCCCGAGGGCCGGTGAGGGCCCCCCAGAGGCCGAACATAGCGAAAACCGCCTGCCGTGATTGGTTCATGACCCGAGGCGGTCTGGGTCCCAGACATGAGACGACCTGATTTTTCCAGGACGGCGTCCCTGGCAGTCCCGACCCTTTCCCTGGGACGGGTTTTTCATCCCGAGTTGTTTTTTGACAGTCCCGAGACCCAGCGAGGGCCCCCCAGGGCCAGAAATGGCCAAAAACCTCGCGCCGTGATTTGTTCATGACCCGAAGGATTGGGTTCAGCGCCACCTGCACGTCGTGCCATTGGAGGAGGAGGAGGAGGAGGAGGAGGAGGAGGAGGAGGAGGAGGAGGAGGCGGAGGCGGAGGCGGAGGCGAAGGCGGAGGAGGAGGAGGAGGAGGAGGAGGAGGAGGGGAGGAGGCGGAGAGGGAGGAAGGAGGTTGAGGAGGAGGGAGGAGGGAGGAGGAGGGGAGGAGGAGGAGAAGAGAGGAGGAGGGTCGGCGGAGGAGGAGGCGGAAGAGGCGGAGGAGGAGGACGTCTGGGTTCTGACCCGCTCTCGTCCTCGAGGACGTCCAGCGCCACCTGCACGGCGTGCCCCGGTTCTCCAGCGTGTGCGCCGAGCCCTGCGCCGCGCGGGCGCCAGAGGAGGCGCCCAGGGTGGCGCGGCTGCCGGGGAGCTGCCGCACGGCCGTCCAGGGCCTCCTCCTCTCCTCCTCCTCCTCCCCTCTCCTCCTCCTCCTCCTCCCCTCCGCCTCCTCTCCTCCTCCTCCCTCCTCCGCCTCCTCCCTCCTCCTCCTCCTCCGCCTCCTCCTCTCCTCCTCCTCCTCCTCCTCCTCCTCCTCCTCCTCCTCCTCCTCCTCCTCCTCCTCCTTCTGCTCCTCCTCCTCCTCCTCCTCCTCCTCCTCCTCCTCCAGGGCGAGCCGTGCTACGACAAGGCCAGCCGCGAGCGAGGGGGGAAGTCGTCGAGCATCAATCCCAGACCCCCTCGCGTGGTGAAGAGATACGGTTTTTCGCAATTTTCGGCCTCTGGGGGCCCTTATACTGGGCCTCGGGGCCATCAAAAAACGACTCAGGATGAAAAACTGGCCCCGGGGAATGGGTCGGGACCCCTGGGGGTCGCGTCATGAAAGAATCATGACGTCGGGGGTCTGGGGTCGAGCATAAATCTAGGCCTCCCAGATGGGGTCGGAGCAGAGGGGGTCGGAGGATCGCGCCGCCGCATCGCCAATGCATCGCCGATGCGGCTCCATGTGGAGCCCGATCTGCTTCACGTCGATCTCGCCGATGCATCGCACACGTCCACGATGCATCGTCGGTGCATCGACGATGTATCGGCGGCGAGCGAGGGGGGAAGTCGAGAGGCACGAAAGAAGCCTCGGACCCAGTCCCCACCGGGTCATGAAACAAGCACGCAGCAGAGGCCCGGTCAAACCAAAAGGTTGTTCCGTGAATGGGCGGGGCACGATATGAACAAAAATTCGCCGGCCCAACGGGCCAGAGGCGTGCTACGAACTCTGGTAACTGGTTTACAATTTTCTAGTTCGCCCGCGTGGGGCGGCCCCTGGCAGCCCTCGAACGAGAAGTACCCGGACAGGTCCCGGCAAGGTGAGGCCCACAGATGGTTTTCCTCCTCGGCGCTTCCAGGCTTTCCCGAGCGCCCCAGGAACGCTCCAAGAGAGCCCCGTGACGTGCTCCAGGCGGTCCGAGGGGCCCTCGGTCGCCGCCAGACGGCCGAAGACGCCGCCGAGAAGCCCCAAAGGAGCCTCAAGAGGCTCCCCTAGAGAGCCTCAACAAGCAACCACTCCCTCCAGAAAACATATATGTTGCGCCTACACGACGTTTCGAGGTCCAGCGCGTCCAGCACTGCCCACGAGACCTTCAAGATCGCCCCAAGACGGCCCAACACACTCCCAACATGGGCCCCAGACGGCCCAAGAGGGCCCCAAGACAGTCCACGAGGCCCCCTGGACAGCCCTAGACAGCCCTACGAGGGACCCCATCGGGGGAGCTCGAATTGAACTTTCCAGCTTGCCGACCCTCAAGAGGCTCTCCTAGAGAGCCTCAACAAGCAACAAGTGTCCCATTCATTTTGCGCCTACGCGACGTTTCGAGGTCCAGCGCGCCCAACACTGCCCAGGAGACCTTCAAGATCGCCCCAAGACGGCCCAACACACTTCCAACATGGGCCTCACACGGCCCAAGAGGGCCCCAAGACGGCCCACGAGGCCCTCTGGACGACAGCCCAAGACGGCCCTAAGAGGAGCCCCATCGGAGGAACACGACTCCCACCAGCCCTTCAGGGCGTACAGTCATCGCGCCTAGTAAGGACGCGCGCCTTTCTCCAGGGTGCCCTTGTGTCCTTGCCTCTGCGGCCCGTCCTTTGTCGTTTTCACTGGTCGCCCGCCGCCCACAACATCTGAACTTCGGTCTCCAAGGGTCTTGCGTCCCTACCATCCGTCCTTCATATACGTTTTGACTGTATGTGGTTTAGGGTGTTTCCTCTTCCACCCCCCTTCTTCCCCTTCGGGAAGGGGTTTATCATTGTTCCCTATTAATAAACACCCCCTCCCCCAGGCGACTGGGGGCCAACCAGGGTCCATGCCCCCCCCCACACACACACCATCCCTTGTAAAAAACAATGCAAAACACACTCTTACTCCAAATTCAGAACATGCGCAGCCAACCCGATGCGGCCCCCCCCCACCATCCTACAGAGTACACTTGGCGGCGGCGGCGGCTGCGGCGGCTGTGGCGGCGGTGGCGGCGGCTGCGGCGGCTGCGGCGGCGGCGGCGGCGGCGGCGGCGGCGGGGGCGGGGGGGCGGCGGCGGCGGCGGCTGCGGCGGCGGCGGCGGCGGCGGCGGTGGCGGCAGCGACAGCGGCTGCGGCGGCGGCGGCGGTTTGGCAGCGGGGGCGGCGGCGGCGGCGGCGGCGACGGCGGCGGCGGCGGATTGGCCCCCAGTAGCTGCCCATTCCAAGACGACTGCTGAATATGCTGAGGCTCGGGCCGGACTCGGGTGCTACGTATGTGTTGGGAGGGCGGGTGGGAGTGAGCGAGACGGCTTGCGAGCGGGGAGGGGGTAACTTGGTCCCTCCCCTTACCCCCTCCCCTGGACCTGGAGAAGGCGTCGTCGGAGCGTCCAACACGGCCTCGGCGAGGAATCCAATACCACTGGTTTTAGCGTTGTTTTTGCCCCATTTGGGCTTCTCGGGGGGCAGCGCTAATTGAGGGACCCCCTTTATTTATTTGATCAATCTTTTCCGAGATGGCCCCAAGAGCGCTCCCAAGGCTCCCAAGGGTGCCCCAAGAGGGGCCGCAAGACGTGGCCAGGAGGCTCCAAGAGGCCCCCAAGAGGGCCCCCACGAGGCCCCAGAGGCTCCCAAGAGAGCCCCAAGAGGCACCCCAGAGGCAACCAAGACGCTCCAAGAGGCCTCGGAGAGAATGCCAAAACCATTGATTGTACGAATGATTTGGCCACGTGTTGGCCTCCTGGGGGGAGGCTCTGCTTAATATGACTCCAAGAGCGTCTGGGGGAAACCAATATAACCTCCAAGATGGCCCAAGCCACCCCAAGATGCCCCAAGATGGCTCCCACTAAGCTCCAACGGCGCCCACCGGCGACCCGCGCGCGGCCCCCCCCCACCCCCGTGGCCCGCGCCCCGCCCGCGCCCCGCCCCGCGGCGATCCACCCCCTCACTATTCTCTTCATTTGCGGGGTGCTACGGGGCATTTACTATTCGCATTTCGTCGGCCGAACAGCGTGCCCATGACCCATCGCATGTCCGTGGCAGTTGGCTCGAGTCTCACCGAGGGCGCCACTCAGTTGTCATGCCAGGAGGCGGCCGCCCTGGCGGTCACTAGCAGTTCCTTATTTCGTCGTGGACTTGCCGTCGCCATGCTGCCCAGCCAACTCAGGGAACCAAGGAGAACCTTTACTGTGCAATGTCCGCAGCTGGCGTTGGCTACGCTTCGCGGGCTCAATCCAGTATGCTCCTGTTCGGCACAGGGGGGCAGACGCCCGCTGCCAGAGGGGTGGTGCTACTTGCACGTCGGGGCCAACGCAGTGCACGGCAAAAGCGTCGTGGCACAAACAGAGGACTTGCAAAAGGTGCGTGCTGCCTGGCCAGACGCGCCAGAGGATTTACCGAGCTCAGCTATATTTGGTCGCGTCCGTCTGGGCCGCGCGGTGGGCCCAGATCAGATGGGCCGCAACCCGTGGGCGCGACTGAGGCTGAGGCTGAAGCAGGCTGAGGCTGAGGCTGAGGCAGGCTGAGGCTGAGGCTGAGGCAGGCTGATGCTGAGGCAGGCGGAGGCTGAGGCTGAGGCTGATGCAGGGTGAGGCTGAGGCAGGCTGAGGCTGATGCCGAGGCTGAAGGCAGACTGATGGTGAGGCAGGCTGAGGCTGAGGCCGAGGCTGCAGGCAGACTGAGGCTGAGGCTGCAGCAGGCTGAGGCTGAGGCTGAGGCAGGCTGAGGCTGAGGCTGAGGCTGAGGCTGAGGCAGGCTGATGCTGAGGCAGGCTGAGGCTGAGGCTGAGGCTGATGCAGGCTGAGGCTGAGGCAGGCTGAGGCTGAGGCAGGCTGAGGCTGAGGCTGAGGCTGATGCTGAGGCTGAGGCTGAGGCTGCAGGCTGAGGCTGATGCCGAGGCTGAAGGCAGACTGATGCTGAGGCTGAAGCAGGCTGAGGCTGAGGCAGGCTGAGGCTGAGGCTGAGGCGGGCTGAGGCTGAGGCTGAGGCAGGCTGAGGCTGAGGCTGTGACTGCGACTGCCGTTGCCGCTGCGGCTGTCATCGCTTATGCGACTACGACTGCGAGAACAGCAGGATTCTACAACTGGATTCTCATTTGAATCTTTGTTTGAGCTGAATCCTACAGCTGGATTCTCCAGATATGCTCCTGCACATCGCTGTTCGGTGGCCTTGCCGGGATAATTGATCCTCGGCATTCTGCCCCCAAGCCAGCACCATTCAGGCTCAAGGCTGCGCATCCAAAAGGCGGGCGTTTTTTTATTATTATTAAAAAAAGTATTGATTTGAGCGTGAACAGCATATAAGATTGCAGGATGTCGTTTGCAGGATTTCGCAGACGAGCAGACGCTCGTCCACGCCCTCGGGGCGTATGGGCGTCGGATCCGGGATCCCAAGTGGGAACAAGACGTGCCTGAATGGTCATTTGCGGTCAATGACGGCGCGGGCAATGTAGTGACACAGGTTACCCCGCCCAGCGTCTGGAGGGAAATGAATCTGAACGTCGAGGCCACGGACACCGTGACTAAGAACGCTCGCGACTATATTGTTGCGCACGGTGGTGGGTGGACCCGCGGAGAAAAATGAAGTTCTGTTTCGATGTTGCATCGTACGGCAGCGTGAAGTTCACGCAACAGGAGGAGCATACCAGCACGCTGTTTAACAAGCGTGTCTCGACACACCATAACGCGATGTCTAACAACACCGATTCCGCCAGTGGGGCGATATTAGAAAAAAACAGATGGTGCAGAGTATGTCCATATGTGCGGTCTATTGTTGGAAGAGCGGAAGGCCCTTCAAATAAGAGAAAATGCATGGGCGCAGGGCAGAACCAGGCAGAGAGGATTGTGAAGAAGAGGGCCCATGATAAACTTAAATTGCTGAAAGCTGCGATCAAGCTCCAGAGTCTCATGGGCCCATTCGTGGCTCGCAGTTTCGCCTCTCTGATATCTGATGGCTTTTCGGCCTGTTCCGTCACCTTGCATGGGTGATGGGCCATGGGAGCCGCGTGGATGTTGGTTTGGATATCGTGGTTGGTGGTTTTGGGCCTTCCGGGGTGCAGCGTTAAAGCTTCGCGGGGCTTCTGGGGGCAGTTTTTGGGCCCCTTGCAGTTTTTGTTTCTTTTCTTTTTTTTGTTTAGGGGGCGGGGGCCTCGTGGCGCCACTTGGCGCGTCCTGCGGCCTCTTGGGGGCCTCGTGGGAGCCTCTTGGGGCGGGAGGCTCGAATGTTCGGTTCTGTCTGGGCCGAAGGGCGCGGTGGCGGACATCGAAACAAAGACGTTCTGGACGTCAGGGCCAAGATCCTCGCGGGCTTTTTCACAGGCCCCGGTTGCAGGATTGGCTGCTACTCGGTAACAGGCGCTCTCGGCAAGAATCCGATCGGCATCTGCTCCGCAGACAGGCCGCTGGACCCCAACACGTCCAACGCCGCTGTTTCCGAGCTGTATCACCACTGGATGCAAAACCTGCGGCAGCAGGTGAAAGGCAAACTGAATGTGTGGGGGAAGACGTGCCCGAGCCTGCTGCCCGATCTGGCGGTCGTTGATGAGCGGTGCCTCGCGCGCCCCGAAGAGTTCGAGTTTCTCTTGTGCGAGTTGACGAAGATCGGCCGCGCCGCGCTAGGCTACGACGACGCCACCGGGTGGCCATCGCACTACCGCCGGGGCGCAGCTGCTCCGCAGGGCGACGTGGGCGAGGAGCAGGGCGACGACGACGACGAGTCGCAGTGCGACGCGTCGGCTAGCGATGACGGGGCCAGCTCGGGCACAGACGAGGTCGGGCGCAGTTTCGCCGCCGCTGGAGCCTAACGAGCTGCTGATGAGCGGACAAGCCCGGGAGGCCCCCGCCGCGCGGGTGCTTGCAGCGCCTGGGCGGATTCGTCGCCGCTTCGAAGCCGACGCAGAGCATGTTTCCGCATTCTGACGCATCGCCAGCTAGGGCGGCGCCGAGAGGAGTCACCGCTGCCCACAGGTGCCCCAGGAAGGGGGGGGGGCACTTGTGATTCACAGGTGCTCCCCCCCCCCCCCCTGGGACACCTGTGGCGCTTCATGGGGCCTGTGGGACTAGTGGAATTTGCGAGACCTGCGGGACCTGTTGGTCCAGTGGAGCCTGTGGCATCCGTGATGCCTCTGGAGCCTGTGGGACCTGCGACACCTGTGGGGCCTGTGCGACTTGTGGGCGCCGTGGAGCCTTTGGGACTGGGAACTCTCGGCGCCCCCGTCTCGGCGTTGCCCGGCGCGCAGCGAGGCTCTCGGCAGGCGTCTTGAGCGATTGCAATGGTTCACGCTTCGCGAATCACCGCCAGCCCATCCGACAACAACCGTTCGAGCGAAAAACACCGACTATCGGGAGCTGTCTTCAGGAGGAGGAGGAGAAGGATGAGGAAGACGCAGAGGAGGATGCGGAGGAGGAGGGGGGAGTGGAGGAGGAGGAGGAGGAGAAGGAGGAGGAGGAGGAGGAGGAGGGGTCGAAAACGAGGCCCCAAAGCCTCGCGGCAGGCCCCGTCCAGGGCCAAGGGGAGAGGGTAGGGGGAGGGGTAAACCTTGAACCCCCCCGAAGGGGAAGGAGCCCGCCAGGCGTTTCTCCTCCTCCCCCACGTCCGGCCTCCAGCCCCGTGTGGTTCAGTGATCACATGATGGGGCGGTCTGACCCGCCTCACAGACGCACCGTGTGGGCGTCGGGCGATAGATTGACAGAAATATGGAACGAGTCCCAGAATTACGATCGTGTCTCTGAATTGGACTGCATGGCGGGAGGGGTCCGCCTGGAAAAACGCGTCGTCGTCGTCGTCCTCGTCGTCGTCGTCGTCGTCGTTGTCGTCGGCGCCGTCGTCGTCGTCGTCGTCGTCGTCGTCGTCGTCGCCTCGTCGTCGCCGCGTCGTCGTCCTCGTCGTCGTCGTCGTCGGCCTCGGCGTCTTCGTCTTCGCCGTCGTCGTCGTCGCCGCCGCCGTCGTCCTCGTCGTTCCTGTCCTCGTCCTCGTCCCCGTCCCCGTCCACGTCGCCGTCGTCGTCGTCGTCGTCCTTCCGCTTGCACGGCCGCCCCCGCCTTTAGAGAAACGAAAGACGGCGCAAGCGTAAATTTTCGAAAGTCCGCGCGGACTTTTTGGATTGGCGCTGGACCCCCCAGCCTAGCGCGCGGAGTTCGCCAGGGGCGGCGCCGAAGGCATCGCCAGGGGCGTTCTCGTCGTCGTCGTCGCCGTCGGCGGCGGCGGCGGCTGAGGAGGGGGAAGAAGAAAAAGAGGGAGAGAAGGAGGAGGAGGAGGAGGAGGAGGAGGAGGAGGAGGAGGAGGAGGAGTCAGAAGGAGCGAGGAGGATCATCTGTTTTGATATCCCGCTGCCTGCAGGCAAATCCCGCCACCGCGCCAGTCCGGCATGCTCGGCGGCTCTCGTTCGAGGGGGGACCGGGGGCCGCTTTCGCGAGGGATGAACAACGTGAAAAATGATGATGATAACGATGATGATGATGCTGATGATGCTGATGATAAGTATGTTGATGCTGTGATGATGATGATGATGACGATGATGATGATGATGATGATGATGATGATGATGATGATGATGATGGTGGTGGTGGTGGTGGTGGTGGTGGCGGCGGTGGTGGTGATGATGATGATGATAATGACAACGAAGCTGGTGATGATGATGATGATGACGATGATGATCGCGGGCGTATCGTGGAGGCCTCTTGGGGCCTGTTCGAGACAGTGTTGGGGCCTCTTGGGGGCATCTTGTAGGTTCTTGAAGGCCTCCTGGGGGCCTCTTCCGGCGGAGGGCTCAAGTTTCGGATTCGTGATGCCGCTGTGCGGCACGGCCCCAGTAGGTGCTCAGGGGGGGGGTCGAGCACCTGTGCGAGACAGGGGCGGGAACCGCTACTTGAAATGTGCCCCACTTGCCCCACTTGCCCCTCTTGCGCGCAGGCTCGAAGAATTGGGGTCCACTTGGCCCCCCTTGCCTGGGATTGAAGACCCCATTTGACCCCCGCTTGCCCCACTTGGGCAAGTGGGGCAAGTGGGACCAAGTGGGGCAAGTGGGGCAAGTGGGGCAAGTGGGACATTTCAAATAGCAAACGGAGCTGCATGTCTCCTCCCCTCTCACCTCCCTTTTGGGCTCCCCTCACTGCCCCCTCTCTGCGGGGGGGCTTTTCGCCACCGCAGCTTGACGCGGCTCAATAACTCGTGCTTCCGATTCGGGGATGGTTTCGTGGAGCGGTTAATAGTTTGTTTGGTGCCATTTGTTTGGTGCCATTATGTTTTTCTCTGGTGTCTTCAATGGCTTCGTCGACTTCTTGTGACACTGTTCGTTTCCAAGGGCAGTTCCTTATGGGATCGTGGCCCAACACGCCAGCCACCCGGGAATTGAATACGTAGCACCTCGCAATTGCGGATAAGAGTGAGGGGGCGGGCGCGGGGTGGGTCGCAGGGTGTGTCGCCGCGGGGTGGGCCGCGGGTGGGTCGCGGGTTGGGTCGCGGGGTGGGTCGCGGGGTGGGTCGCGGGGTGGGTCGCGGGTGGGTCGCGGGTGGGTCGCGGGTGGGTCGCGGGGGGGGACGACGACAACAAACAACAAACAACAAACAACAAACAACCAACAACAACAACAACAACAACAACAACACCAACAACAATAATCCGCATCGCGGAACTCCACTTCAGCCACGCACCCAGGGACAATGAATGACCGTTCGGGCCCCCTCACTCTGATATGTTCAGTCGTTTCCCGAAACATAGCTCTAACATGGACTCTTAGATTGCTAAGATCGTCTCGAGTACGGGATACGTGGCCCCACATGCCCATGCAGGGTGGCCGCAAGATGCTTCCAAGAGAGCCCACGACGCACCCGAGACGGCCCAGATGGCCACAACAAGGCCCCAGAGGCCCCAGGCAGCATCCGCGCCGGCCTCCAGGCCGGCCCAAAAGTACCAACATATCATATGTTGCTATTTTGTGTGAAGATCATGGCGTTCGCTTCTTCGTGGCCTTCCGATGAACAAAAAAAAAACCCAGAAGCCTTCGAGATCTCCCCGAGAGCGCCAGGAATCCCGAGGAGGCCCATGTATACGCGCGCTTGGACAACAAGGAGGTCGAGGAAAAGGAAGAAGGTGAGCCGCTGCCCGCAGCGGTGGGCCCAGACGGGGGGGGAAGGAGAGAGGGACCGGCGAAAAAGAAAAAGACGGATCAACAACACAGGCAAGACGCGGCCGGCACGTTGCTGGTACGCGGCCGGTACGCGGCCGGTACGTTGCCGGTACGCGGCCGGTACGCGGCCGGTACGCTGCCGGTACGCGGCCGGTACGCGGCCGGTACGCGGCCGGTACGCGGCCGGTACGTTGCCGGTACGCGGCCGGTACGCGGCCGGTACGCGGCCGGTACGCGGCCGGTACGCGGCCGGTACGCGGCCGGTACGCGGCCGGTACGCGGCCGGTACGGCCGGTACGCGGCCGGTACGCGGCCGGTACGCTGCCGGTACGCGGCCGGCACGCTGCCGGTACGCGGCCGGTACGCGGCCGGTACGTTGGCGGTGCGCGGCCGGCACGCGGTTGGTACGTCGCCGGTACGCGGCCGGTACGCTGCCAGTACGTTGCCGGTAAGTGGCCATCATACGCTTACTCCTCCTCCTCCTCGTCTTCCTCCCCCTCCTCCTCCTCCTCCTCCTCCTCCTCCTCCTCCTCCTCCTCCTCCTCCTCCTACTGAGAGTAGCGGCAGCCGTAGCAGTCGAACTGTAAATCCTGAGCGTTTCCAGAGCCCTGGAGCCCCTCAGGTTTTTTTGGAATATGATGTGGACATATTCTAAAATATTTTATAACATGTCATGACGTTTGTCATGACGACCTGTGTCTCCAGCACTAGTGGTAGTGTTTTCCGAGCGTCAGACAACCCATCGTGAGCTAAACCAGTCTTGTTTTTTTCTTGTTTTCCCTAAGGTGGTCGGGGCCCCTTCGCGAGGAAAATTTGCGGGGTGCGTTCGACTCGCACCTCCTCGGGGTCTTCCTGATGCCCCACTGTCACTAGGAGGTTCAGTCCTACGCGCCAGTGCTCTGATGAGTGTGCGATGGATCGGCGGTCAGTTGATCGCTGTCCTGGCCCAACTCACATCAGCAGAGGAGGAGGGGGAGTAGGAGGAGGAGGAGGAGGAGGAGGAGGCAGAGGAAGAGGAGGAGGAGGGAGGAGGAGGAGTAGGAGGAGGAGGGGGAAGAGATGGATGAAGAAGAGGAGGAGGACAGCGAACCGAAGAGCCGGAAACTTCGAAGGGGAAGGCTGGACTTGACATTTTTTCTTCATTGGGCTTCATGGGGCCCCGCAATTCCGGTAAGGAAGGTTGGATTGGACACCCCCTCTGGAGTACATGGGATTCCCGAATTTCGATAATAAGAGGAGGAGGAGGAGGAGGAGGAGGAGGAGGAGGAGGAGGAGGAGGAGGAGGAGGAGGAGGAGGAGGAGTGGAGGAGGATCAAGGAGGAGGAGGAGGAGGAGGAGGAGGACATGGAGTGGGGCGAGGACAAGGAGGACGAGAAGGAGGAGAAGGCGAAGGAGGACGGGGGGAGGATGAGGGGGGAGGAAGGCGGAGGCAGAGGAAGAGGAGGAGGAGGGAGGAGGAGGAGGAGGAGGAGGAGGAGGGGGAGGAGAAGGAGGAGGAGGAGGAGGAGGAGGAGGAGGAGGAAGAGGTGGATGAGGAAGAGGAAGAAGAGGACAGCGAACCGAAGAGCCGGAAACTTCAGAGAGGAAGGTTGGATTTGACACTTTTTCCGCATTGGGCTCCATGGTGCCCGGCAATTCTTGTAAGGAAGGTTGGGCTCGACACCCCCTTGGGCAC